CTGAGGCTCTAGGCCCAGAATTAAAAATTAAAGCTCAAAACTTAAAACTTAAAAAGGTAAACGTAAAAAGTCGAAACTTAAAACCCTAAAAGAAAAATGAGCATAAGAATTTGCATCTTGGATGAAGAACTAACCTTACCTTCGAGAAGGGTTTTCTCTTCGTAGGAAATAGATCTTAATTATCTCCAAATAATATCAAAAGCGGATTGATGTAGATCCAGCAAAGTTTGGTCAGGTGAAGTTAAATCCAGTTATATCCGAAATACATCGATAGGATCCGGCACTCAAAATACCATCAATTGCCAACAAACAACATTGCACGGTTCCTAATATGAATAAACATGTCTTATATCCCTTTAATAAGGTTTCACTTGGCAGAGCGAAAAATCGACCATGTTATTCTCTGGACAACCATCACAAGACAAACCTGCTTCCGGCTTCTACATTACTTTGTCCCCCTTCGAAAACCAGACCTGCGCATATTTACCCATAAATATGTCGATATTGGAACAATATTGTTACAAAAAGAATTAATAATAAAATAAATCGACCATTACATAGCTGATAATTGTATTATACCCTTGGATTAGAAATAAAGAAAGGCCAAGATAAAAAGGCTCGACAAAAGATCTCAAATTCGAATTATGCACGAAAATTAAACCAATAGGAAAGCATCTACAACAGGTGCCGGATATATGAACAGTGTTGCTCCGTACATTGCTGAGCGATACACTTGGCAACCCCGCGATAAAGCGCCGCCTAGTGCGATCAATTCGATCCACCTTTACGTCAATACAAATGTCAACCCGTTTAAAGTAAGTAAACAATTAATAACTGAATAACTCTACCACCACAGTTCTAAAAGATGAAGGCTACATTAATAAACACGCTTTTTTTGTTTTTAGGTATCATAAGCAGCACTAATTGCTGATCCCGCCAACAACTTCTGAACTAAGATTGCAAAGTCAAACATTCACTATTTAAGACATCCAAAAGCAATAAAACAAAGGTAAGTTAGGCACATTGTCTAAAAAAATATATATCACAAACCAAGTTTATAACGTAAGCCAACTATTATTAAATTCCATTACTTTTAGGTTATGCTGGACGAATGACGAATGAAGGTTATTACATATTTGTATTGTTGTTGATGTTGTTCAATAAAGTTTCAAGAATTAATAGATGTTTTAGTTGTCATTAGGAACTATCAAATCCTAAGGAAGCAAAACAAAATAACCAAGAGCAAGGCAAATTCACAAAACTACGATTACAATGCTCAACACTGAACCGTAGTATACATTATATAACAAAAATAGGGTAAAGCACAATTTCTTGTGAAACAAAAATGGTAGTATTAAAATCCAAACCGTAAGGTTACACCCCTTTGTCCGCTGGAAATCGAGTAGCTAGACTTTTGTGGGCCCAGGAGCATTTAAATTGGTCTGATGAACAATGGTCCACAGTTTTGTTTAGTGATGAATCTCGGTTTGGCCTGCATCCAGACTCAAGAAGAACGAGGGTATGGCGATGTCCCGGACCAGCAGCACGGCTAGAAACTGCTCAAGAGGTTCATACTTACCGTGGTGGAACTGTTATGGTGTGGGGTGGTATCAGCATTGGAGGAAGAAGTAATCTCATTTCACTTCAGGGATTTTTAAACTCAATTGCTTATCGAGATGTTATCCTTCAACCTCTCGTGATTCCCTATGCTGCAGCTGTTGGTCCAAGATTCATTTTCATGCACGACAATGCCACCCCACACAGTGCACGAATAATAAGTTATTTTCGGATGAAAAAAATATCGACGTTCTTCCATGGCCAGCACAATCCCCGGACTTAAATCCGATAGAGCATCTGTGGGACATGTTACAAAGGCGGGTTATGCGTAGAAATCTTTTTTTTTAATAATCGCCAAGAGCTCATTTTAAGTTTACAAAGAGAATTTTCACTTCATTGTTTAATAAAGCTATTTTCATTTCATTGCATATTTTATGACTTTTCGTTCAAAAATGGTAAAAATATATAAGTGAGAATATCACATAAAAAAAGTGAGAGTTTCTTTACAAAAATAATTGTTTTATTGCAAATTTTTATATATATATATATATATGCATACAGGGTGTTTCACATACGTGGTCCATTAGAAGTTTCTGGAGAACGAAAAAGATATCGATTTGAAATTTTAAAAGCGTTTATAATCCATTTAAGCCTATTTTTCTAAAATATTTCAAAGAAAATGCTACTTCCGGTTTATCCAGAAGTGACATCAACTTTGTTATTTTAAATAAAACACCCCATATATTTTTACATTTTTAAATTCTACATAAAATTCTGATAATAATTACTATGCCATGTTCTATACCTAAAGTGAATAATTTTAGAGTTATTAATATTTTTTGTTAAAATTTGACAAATGCGCGTCAATAAAAAATAGCCTATAACATTTTTTATTAGGTTTACGAATATAAGGTTGGAATTTTTGGAATCTTAAAACATTGTTTAAAAGATTCCATGTCAATTCTTTAACATTTTTTAACAAATCACCTGAGAAGACCCAGGGCAAATTAGGCTAATTTTTTTTAATTTTAAATGTAACAACCAGTTTGTTTTTACCTAATCAAATAGCAAATTAAAAAACATTTCGATTGATGTTACTATTCCCTATACCTAAAGTTAATAATTTTAGAGATACCTATTTAACAATTTCTACAATATTATTTTGTATCAAGAAACCTGTGACGGATGAGTTGACGGTATCCACAATGGTTACCACGTAATCTGTCATTGTTTAAAATTTACAGTGAGCTCCGTTGCCGCTGATCGTTGTTTATATAAACAGTGTGTATAAACAATGTTTCTTTTTGCATTATAATTATAATTATAATTATTGGAGGTAGAAGTTACCATTGATAAAAAAAACATAAGAAAGACGACTTGTCAATCAGGCCGGTATTCCATCCATTTTAGTACGTTTAATACTTCAGGACCGGCTTTTGGCATTTTGACATTTTGTATTTATAAAAAGTTATGAAAACTGTATATTTTTGAGAAAAAAATCATAAAAAACACTTCAAAATTGACCAAATTATTTTTCTAGTTTCTAGTTTCTTTTCAATATGTACCTATGTGATTTTTATCAATTTATAATCAGTAAATGGTTTTAAAATGAGAAACATAATGTTGTTTTGTGATGCTTGGATCCACAATTTAAATCTAAAATATCTCGAAAACCAGAGCTAACATAAAAAAACACCTAGTATACCATTGGATTTAGCGTATTCAAATTAGGTAATCCCTCTGGGTGCCCTGCTTGTTAGAAAAAAAAGAGTTTCCGATTTAAGCACAGTGTTATCAATGTTGACCTGGCAACTGGAGTTATAATAACAATAATAACAATAATTATAATAATCATAATAATATAATATACAAACAGGGCTTTAAATAAAAACTAGTCAACCTTAATAACTTTTGAGTTTAGTAAATATGATCTTGAGCAAAAAGGTTGATTTAGATATCGAGGTGAAGTACAAATCCAGTGCTAAACAAATTTTATGTTGCACCTTCTCAGCTCCAGCTACGCTTACTAAAAATTTAAATGGCACCCAATACCTTGCGACCCATCATTTTAAAGAAAAGTTAAAAATTGTGAATTTTTCAGACATAAAAAACTTGTTTATTCACTATTAAATTAAAATTTTTTGCACATTCAATATAAATAATCTTTACTGGGAGTTAAAATCTCAATCATTGAATTATAACTCATTTTAAAATATTTTTAGAAATTTCTAAAACAGCAACATTTCCGAAATAGCAACTTTTTTATTTTGTCGAAACATTAAAAAAACTATAAATTGTCCACTTTTAATAATTAATATCTCCGAAACTATCAGCCCAAAGTATACATTTGAATGCAAAAAAAAGTGGGGAACATATTTTAAAACAATGGCCGATGACGTCATTGCTTCCAAAAAAATGTCAGAAAATTTGAAAATTTTACATCAAAATTAATAAACAAAATCTATGTGTTTAAGGATTTTTTTTTAATATTAAAAGGGAATTTCTAAATGAATTTGTTCTATACTTTTGCCGGTCACTGAATTTGTTTTCTTTAAATAGTAATAACTTGAAAACGCGAACCAATGAAACAAAATCTTTCAGGGAATATGTTTTTGGGGAGGCATTTTTCCATAATTAGTGAACAGATTTCGTCTGAGAAATTTTGACGCATATTTTGTCGCACAGTGTTATCAGTAGCGGCGAAAATATTAACGTACAGGGGTAGAACAAACAATATTATTTACACAAAAAAGTTGAAACGGTTTCTGAATCTTAAGCGTTCAGACTTCCCAGTAATTTCCAATTCCGTGTGTTCGGCATGTGTTTATTAAAAAAACGTGAACAATGACGAATAGCACGATAATAACGTTATATCTCATTGCATTAATGTATTCCTTTTCTTTTAAAATTTTATAAAATGATTTTTCGATCAAACGCTGCGGCGCAAAAATGTTTAATCGCACATTAACAATAAACAAAAGAATTTTTCTCAAACAATTTTATTACGTGACTTTATATTAATGAAAAGATTATTTTTTAATATTTTGTCCTAATTTTTGTTTTAACAAGAAAAACCGTGGGCTCATTTGGGAAATTTCTAATCATAGCATAATTTTATATTGCAGAGATGGCAAAAATGGAGACGAGAAATGGTGAACCTTTCAATGTGGTTTATTCCATGGGAACTTAAAATAAAAGAAATCGAATCACATTTCGGTTCTGTCGTGGCTTCATATTTCACATTTTTGCGATGGCTGTTTTGGGTAAACATTGTAATAGGAGCAGTTTTGGTTTCATTTGTTGCCATTCCTGAGGTACCTTACTTAGTAAATAGTTATAAAAATTTATTTAAATTGGATGCATACATTTACAATTAAGTTGAAATTTGTCACATCAGCATTGCTGCTATAATTGTTTTATAAAATTTGAACACTTAGTTAGATATGTGGCTTAAAATTTTATTTTTAATTTATTGTGTCAAAAAAATTAGTGCTACGCGTTTATTTGATACAGAATATGTGCCCGATGAATCCGATGTTACATTTCATCTTTATCACAGGTAAGAATTTATTGATTTATGTAGATTAAAATTAAATTAATATTTTATAAAGAGTGACAATTTTACATTTTTGCAATTATCTTATTTGGAAAGAAACCCTGCATAATTTTATCGCAATTTTGCAGAGTTTACAAATAAAATGTTGTATCTGCTACTTGCATTACCATAAATTAAATGTTACATTTAAAATGTTACACAGTGTATATTAGGGTGTCCCAAAAAAAAAGAATTTATTTTTTTTTCTTGTCTCTTGTAAAAATATGTTAGTTTATCATGCTGTAAGAGCCCTTTCAAAATATCAGCTCGATTAAAAATTTTGTAGGGGTCGCTCAAGATTTTTAAAAATTTTCAAAATCGTCAAAAATTGAATTTTTGTTTTATTTTAATTCTTTTTCTCGTCTCGATATTATTTTTTAGGTTGAAAATAATAAAAATTCTGTAAATTTCAAATCAATATTTTGATTTCTAAAGGTCGCTAAAAGTTCGTTGATATTTACAGGGGCGGCTAGTGCATAAGGGCTGCAGAGCTGCAGAACTCCCAAAATTTTCTTATTACTTGACTAATTTTTTAATTATTTAATATTTAAGTGTGACAGTGTATGAATATTTCAAACGCATGGCTGCATAAAAAGTTTTTATTATAAACATTCGCCGTACTTGGCCACTACAGTCATCCAAACGACCGGTAAAAGTCTCTAACGCTTAACGCTTACAATACAACAAAGCTGGGCCACAGTGGCCCGGCCACTTTCGAGTTCTGGCTCCCATTTCAATACCGTAATTTTGCTCCGCGCCGCTCTTGGTCCTAGGTTGAGATAGTGAAATTTAAGCCAAACCGGAGCTGCACCAACATACAGTTCCTACTTCCCGGTCGTTTGTTTTTCGCTTCGCGTGCACGTTTGTTATTTTAACTAGAAGACTGTTAATTCGGTGTATTTTTGTGTTTGTTGTTGTATTCTTTTGTAAGAATGAATGTGGTGTATGATTTAATTATGATTTAATTAATTAACTGTAGGTACCATTTAATTAAATGCCCACTGCGCCACATTTTTTTAAACCCCACTGGCAGAACTCACAAATTTTACTGCCACGAGCCGCCACTGGATATTTATATTCAGAGGTCTCTCGAAAACATTCAAAATACTCTACTTTGAAAGTTAAAAAAATCTTGAGCGACCTTTAGAAATTAAAATATCGATTTGAAATTTTCAGAATCATTATTATTTTTAAATTAAAAAATAATATCGGAACAAGAAAAAAAATTAAAATTAAAAAAAATCCAATTTTTGACGATTTTGGTAATTTTTAAAAATCTTGAGCGACCCCTAAAAATTTTTTAATGGTGCTGTGATACCTTTTTATTTTTCTTAAGAACTATTAGAGTTGCCTACCTTATTTCGTTTACCTAAATGGATAGATAAGTGCATACTTTCTCTTATGGTACTGTTTCTTGCCTTTTTCACATTATGGTTACCTTCTTAATATGCAAGTTTACCTTCTTAACCCAAATAGTGCCACCGTCCTTTTAAAAGGACGGCAAAGAAATGTGGATTTTTTCTTGACTTTTTTTTTTCTTGTCAACCCCTATTATGCAACTGACCTTTAAAAAGGACGGTCAGTATTGGGAAAACCATATACAATAGAACAAATTTTTATTGACAAAGTATGTTAAATATGGCCTAAATATGCAATTTTTATAAAAAAAATATTTACTTTATGAAAAAAATAGTTTTGGTAGTATTTGGGTTAATAAGCATCTACATGGACGTCAATAAAACAACTGACTTTTGGTAAATAAACTCACTTTATTCTACATTCTTTTTACGAAGTGGCTATTTATACGTCCGACGTATACAAAATTTGGTATACGTCTTGAGCTTTCATTGTTGAGTTTGGGTTGGTTTCGCTCACTGTCAATCAACTTAAATGGGCAAAAGTGAGCGAAACCAACCCAAACCAACCCAAACTCAACAACCCAACCCAACCGACCCCCGCCCCATTGGACCCCCCCCGCCCAATTTTTCAACGAAGGAATATTCATATAATTACATTTTATATTATATAACTGTAGCAAAATGAATATTAATGTAAAATTAAATAATAATCCTTTTCGCAATATAAATAAAATTAAAAAAAAAAGTTGTTGGCGCCAAGAATCGAACCTGGTATCTCTCGCATACAAAGCGGGCGCTCTTCCATCGGAGCTACCGAGCTTATTAAATAATTCCTTTTGTTTTGAAAATAATACCAGTTTACAGTGTGTGACGTGTGAAGCATGTCTGCGAAAAGTAGCCGGCGCTGGAACTAGACGCTAATAATAAACTAGCCAATGAAAGCACAAGACGTATACCAAATTTTGTATACGTCGGACGTATAAATAGCCAGTTTGTTCTTTTTAATATAAAATCTTGCTCCAAATGGTCAAGGATCCTTGGGGCCTAAAATAGCAAACATTTAGAACATATCTATGCCTGATTTTATGTTTTACTTACCATTTTTCTGCCTGTTTATGTTGTAAGATATTTTGAGGTTATGTTGATTGTTTTTATTGAATATAATTATGCCCGGGAGGTTTCGATGACTCTGAAGGGTAAATTATTGGTTGGTTTATGTATGGAATCATTCTTGTAGTGTACTTACTGTGTTTTGGAAGTAGTTTGGAGAGAATTGTTTTGCCGGTAATTTCATATGTCATTCAACATTCAGTGCTGCCAACCGCATAGCGGAATACCCTAATCTTCGCTTCAAAATTCAAAGTTTTTCTGTTCCGGTAGTGCTGCAGGTTTATTAGATATGTGACAATTTCCCTAGAAAAACCGGAAAAGCTTCGGCCATGATTGTTCGTCGAGATCTCGGTGTGAAACGTTGCTCGCAGGATATTTTGAAGTATCGACTTGTGTTTATTCGATCCGTTAGTTTATACGGGATTAATCTTCAAAAATACCTTTGGTGGACATTTTAAGGCTATTTGGTTTTTGTATTTTTGGCGATTTCGAGCCTTAAAGTCCTTCGCAATTTGGCGGATTCATCGAGCACGTTTTGGTAAGATCCGAATCTCTGCTTATTCTCATATCTAATAGCCCCATCTCTCTAGGACTGATTTCTGACAACATTCTCATAGCCGCATCCACCACCGTCCTGGATATTTTCCTACGTTTTCACTTTTCTTTCTGAAAATACCGGACCAGGCGTAAGTACAAACATTTTTGTTTCCTAATTAAGGCAATTGTGTAATTTTGTTCATTCCTTGTAGGGCTCCTCTTTCTTATATGCTCCTCTTTCTTATTTGGACCTCTTTCTTATTAGGACCGCTTTTAGGACCTTTTTTTTTGGCCCATTACGACTATTTAGGCCGTTACTACGTCGTAATATTTGAGTAAATAACTTGACTTACCTTTTTCACCATATTACTGGTGAATTTCCATTGCCGAGAGGGGCATTCTTTTATGGTACAGCCATCCAACGGTGGCCATATCCAGTACTTTTTTTGAGGGGTTGCCCAGCTAAACACCTACCACCCCGATTTGTGACCTTCAATACCGATTTGTGACCATCCATACCCGCACCGAGAGACGAAGACTACATCTGAATGAGTAGCACCCCCGATAGTGACCAAGCATCCCTGGATTACGATAAGTTTTATCAATTTCTTTATTTTTTTATTATAAATTCAAGAATTTGTAGATGGCGTCCTTAAGACCCAATTTAATTAGTATTCATTAATTGTTTTAATTTATTTTTGTGTCCTGTCAAATAGACAGTTTTACTGAGACTGATATATATACATTTAACTTACCTTATTAAATTAACTGTCAAAGTGACAGCCACTTATTCGTTGGTTTACGCAATCTTTCTAGTATTTTGAATAAGATTCTTTAGTTTTTGTCCCACACAGGGGAAATTATTGGGAAATAATTAATTTCTTTTCTGGTTTATATATATATATAAAAAGGTACCTAGGTACTATAAATTAATTTTAATTTGGGAATTATAACTTTTTTTTCTTCTTTATTTCATTTGGCATAAGCTTTTTCAAAGACAAGTCCTAGAAAGATTGGTGTATACTGGGTTGCCTAACCCAAACTCATTAAGAGTGATTCTTTTATTTTATTGTTTAATAACTTTTTTTCCTGTAAACCAGGTGATATCACTACGGTAGTATTTTTGGATAATAGTAACTTCATTTGAATATTTAAATATTATTTATATGGGGTTGAACCCCCTCTTTAATTAAATTTGTAGTAATTTTTATCTGACTGGTGTATTTAAACACTAAAATTATCAAAACCCTTGTACATAGAACTCACCAGACGATTATACGATCTTAAATATATGTGATAATTTTAAATATAGCCTTTTTCTTTTAATTTAGAGTATATATGGTAATTTATATGTTCTTTACTTTGCAATATAGCCTGTGTAGACCTAATTACCCGGCGCCCTATTCTATAACCACTTTACTTATTGTGTGAACCACCCCCTCTCCACTGTTCAAGCTGGTCGAAGGCATAATTACACCGAAATTGGTTTGTATTTATAAATTTTGCGCTTAGATTTTATTTTTGGTGTAACAAATATTTCTGGCGCCCAACGTGGGGCCTGATTTCAAAAGGGCCTTAAGCCAAAACTTGTAAAAATCTGGTTTTTCCTTTGTTGCAAGGTTTTTGAAAATTAATTGTTAGTGTGAAATGTTTGTATTTTCTTGTACATGTACTTGGAAATGCAAATGTTGATTGCGTTTAATTTATCTTAACTTATCTTATCGTATATTATCTTATCTTACCTTACCTTACCTTACCTTACCTTATCTTATCTGTTATTATACTATCGATTTTGACTATATTAACTGAATGTGACATACGAAATTGAATGCCTTATCTGTCTATTTAAATTGAATATATTTATCTACCTTTCCAAATTGTTTCTACATTGGGAATTAATTATTTCATATCCTATTTGGTGGAAATTTTAAAATATTTTTTTTTCTTTTGCGTTTAACT